AAGGCATCTCAGAACAAAACTACAACAACAATCAGTAGAAGTTGTGCCATAGGTATACAAGGCAATAGATAAAGCAAATCAAACACTCACCTTTATTTCCTAGGTGGTAGGAAGGTCTTCCACGTGACTTGAATTATTGTGCGGGAGAGTTGTGTACTGTCAGCCTTAGGAATGAAGGAACAGGACTGGGTTATTCAGAACGGCACGGTGGCTCAGCGGTTAGCCCTGCTGCCTCCCAGCACCAGGGACCCGGGTTCGATTCCACCCCCCGGGTAACTGTGAAGTTTGCATTTTTCTCCCTATGTCTGCATGGGTTTCCTCCCACAGTCCAAAGATGTACAGGTTAAGTGGATTGGCCATGCTAAATTGCCTCATCGTGTCTAGGTGAGGTGGATTGGCCAGGCTAAATGGCCCCGTAGTGTGCAGGCTAGATGGGTTAACTATGGTAAATGCAGGGCTATGATGGGATGCTCTTTGGAGGTTGGGTGCGGACTCGAAGGGATTCTCTCATTTCGATATGGGCCCAGTTTGTCTAATCTGTCTTCAGAGGACAGTGCTGCCATCCTGGGAAAAAGTCTGGTGAACCTTCATTGCACTCTCTCAATGGGTCAATAATATCCTTCCTGAGATGAGGAACCAGCCAAAACAACATACAGTACTCCAGGTAAAGTCCGTAAAGTTGAAGCAAGACTTTGCACTCCTGAACTCAAGTCCTCTTGCAGTAAAACTACATTAGCCTTTCTAACGGCTTGGTCCCTTTATACATCCACTCTCTCACAATCTCTTACGGTTAACAAATACTGTGCACATCTGTTCCTCCCATCTAAGTGGATAACCTCACATTTTTCCACATTATCTTCCTTCTGCCATATTCTTGCCCATTCATTTAGTCTGTCCAAACCCTCCTGAAATCTTTTTTTTTAACATCTTCCTCACAACTCACATTCCAGCTTAACTTTGTACCATTTGAAAATCTGGAAATATTACATTTGGTTGTCACCTTTAAATCATTGTGAACAGTGGCGAACCCATATAAGATTATCGCAGGTTACAAAGAGATCTCGATCAGTCAGGACAATGGGCTGAAGAGTGGCAGATAGAGTTTAATTTGGATAAATGAGAGGTATTGCATTTTGGTAAAACAAACAAGGACAGGACTTGTAGGGCCTTAGGTAGTGTTGTAGAACAGAGAGACCTAGGGGTTCAGGTGCCATAATTCTTTGAAATTTGCATCACATGTAGACAGGGTGGTTAAGAAGGCATTTAGCACGCTTGCCTTCATTGCTCAGACCATTGATTAAAGGGGTTGGGATGTCATGTTGAGGTTGTACAGGACATTGATGAGGCCTCTTCTGGAGTACTGTGTGCAGTTCTGGTTGCCCAATTACAGGAAGGATATTATTAAGCTGGAGGGGATTCAGAAGAGATTTGCCAGGACGTTGCCGGGTATGGAAAGTTTGAGTCATAAGGACAGGCTGGGGCTTTTCTCACTGGAGCGTAGGAGCTAATGTAGAGGCTTATAAAATCATGAGGGGTATAGATAAAGTGAATGGCAGGTGTCCTTACCCTAGGACAGGGGATTTCAAGACTAGGGGACATATTTTTAAGGTGAGAGGGGAAAGATTTAAAAAAGTCATGGGGGCAATTTTTTTTTACACAGACAGCAGTTCGTGTGTGGAATGAACTTCCAGAGGAAGTTGTGGATGTGGGTACAGTTACATGTTTAAAAGACAAATTTTCGCTAAGACTTTAAAAGACATTTGGATGAGTACATGAATAAGAAAGATTTGGAGGGATATGGGGCAAGCGCAGGCAGGTGGTACTTGTTTAGTTTGGGATTATGGTTGACGTGGACTGGTTAGACCGAAGGGTCTGTTTCTGTGCTGTATGACTCTATGTACTGATCCTTGTGTACATCGCTAGTCACAGCCCGCCAAAATGAGAACAACCCGTTCATTCCGACTCTCTGTTTGCCAATCCTTAATCCCTGCTAGTCCATTGCCTCCTATCCCGTGTGCTTTAATTTTAGCTAACCAATCTATGTGGGGACTTATATCAAAACCTTCTGAAAATCCAAGTCTACCCTCTATCGATTTTGTTAGTGACATCCTCAAAATAAAATGTCCAGCAGCTTCATCAAGCAGAATTTCGCCTTCGAACATGCACGCTGACATGTGCCCCAATCGTGCCATTTTTCTCCAAGTGTTATCCAAGCCTTACTCTTTCCTGAAGGAAGAGAGAAATCCTTATCTGGCCTGGGATTCATCTGACTCCAGGCAGACAGCAACGTGACTATTGGCTGTGTTTAGGAACGGTTTAGCTAGCTACTGAGCTTGTGAGGTTGATTAAGGGGTAGGCAGTGGGTGCTGGTCCAATGACAGCCATATTTAAAAATTCTGTCAATCTGACCTGTCTTGGTCTAGGGATGAGTCTAGATCCTTTGGAGGGAAATGCGGATGCAATAGGTGCCCCCCCCCCGGGGTGTCTTCATGCTTATGCTCCGCATGTTCCATAACACGATGCTGAACCATCTTCCATACCTTTGGACCCAGAACCGCCTCGTCCACCCCAATTCGACCGAATCGATCTTCAAGCTAGGCGAGTCTCTCAGTCTCTGTGGGGAGGAAACCTTCCCGAGGGACTCAGGTGAAAAGTAGGACAGTCGTTCTAAACCTTGCTGTAAATCACACTCGGAGTATTCTCTGGATACCGGATTATTAAAAAAAAGAAAGATGTAGAGAAGATTTAACCAGAAATGTCTGGGGATGCCTATTTGGAAGAGATTGACAGACTGGGCCTCTTCTCTCTCATAATGAAAAGCGGTGAACCAAAAGGGGCATTCAAGCCTATGGGAAGGTTCTGGTTGAATGGATACAGAAGGAATCCCCTCTTGTGACTAAGTGTATAAGTGGAGTCCGTCAATATAAAATAGTCGGCAAGAAATCCAGAGGGGAATTCAGAAGAAATTTCCCTACCCAAAGTGTGGTGAGGACATGAAAGCCATTACCACAGGGAGTGGCTGAAGTGAATGGATTATTTTCGAAATAAAAATAATTGGGATGTGGGCATTGCTGGCTGGGCCAGAATTATCTCCCATCCCCTAACTGCCACTTGACCTCAGGGCAATTAAGAGCCAACAATGTTGCTGTGGGTTTGGAGTTCACATTTAGGCCAGAGCCCAGGCAAGGACAGCAGATTTTCTTCCCTAAAGGACCTTTTGTTTACAGATCAGCTTTTAATTCCGTAAATGCTCACCATTACATAATTCCAGGTATTTATTGAATCGAATTTCACCATCCCACCATGGTGGGATTTGAAACCAGGTCTCCAAAGCATTGACGTGGGATCTCTGGCTTACCAATCCAGTGCTAATACCCCCACGCCATGTCTTCTCCTATAAATCCATCTGTGTCTGATCCCATACAATACACGGCCTTCAGCTGATTTGCCAGAACAACGCAGAGGGAACTTTACTCAGCATGTCACCCGAAACTATTGACACTCTGCTGACCTATCAGCTCCGACGCTGCCCAAGCCCTGCTGGTTTGGGTAAGCAGCCCCTTGCGAATCCTTCTGACTTGCAAACAAAAAGGGGAGAATGTGCACTGGCCCCCAATGATTTCTTCTTTCATCCTTGATTTAAAATATCACAGAAAATGGGGGGCAGGAGAAGAGGCCGTTCAGCCCTGGATTGAATAAAATCCAGATGGTCTGATTGTCACCCTCACTTTAATGCCTGTAAACATTGACTGCCTTATCAGAAGACTATCTAACTCAACTTTGAATACATTCAATGACCCAACCTTCACTGCTGTGTGGAAGAGAGAGTTCCAAAAACTAACAAACCCCTTGACAGAAAATGGTTCTTCTTAGCTCCGTCTTAAATTGGAGATCCTTTGTTTTTAAAATAAGCACCCACTGCCCCCCACCACCATCTTCCTCGAGTCTAGGCTCCCTCACAAGTAGAAATACCCTCCCATAATCCTCCCTTTTGAGTCCCCTCAGCATTTTAGTGAACATTTCAGTCTGATCTGACTCCAACTCAGAATGCATTCACATCAGACTCAAAACATTAGCACTGCTTCTCCGTCCGCAGATGCTCCGTGTTTTGCAGGCGCTGTCTGTTTTTGTTTCGGGCTTTCACAGTATTTTGTTTTTCTCCCCTCTCAGAATCTGCACTGACCATGAGTCTTCTGTGGTAGTCTATCTCTCGTCCCCCAGGGCCTCCTGCTGGAGTTATCATCAGAGAGTCACACAGCATGGAAACAGACACACCCCTTCAGTCCATCCAGTCCATATCCCAAACTAAACTCGCCCCACCTGCCTGCGCTTGGCCCATAACCCTTCCAACATTTTTTGTTCGTATGCTTATTCAAATATCTTTTAAACTTTGTAACTGTACCTGCATCCCACAACTTCCCCTGGAAGTTCGTTCTTACACGAACCACTCTTCGTGCAAAGAAAAATTGCTCCCATGTCCTTTTTCAGATGTTTCTCCTCTCACCTTAAAAACATGCCCTTTCGTCTTGAAATCCCCCATCCGAGGGGAAAAAAATACCTGCCATTCAGCTTACCTATAGCCCTCATGATTTTATAAACCTCTACAGGTCACCTCCTACGTTCCAGTGATAAAAGTCCCAGCCTCTCCTGATAATTCAGTTCCTCCATTCCCTATTGGTAGGCCCAATTCCCGGTTGCAGATGCAGTGGTGATCTTCCGGGTATCCTGCCCTTTGCCCTTCGGTCACTGAGGTTTGCGGCCACTCCATCTTGGGCTGCGGCCTACGTCGTGGCACTTTCATTCCGTTCAGGAACGGGAGGCATGGGGTAGCTCTGCGATGGATCAACGGTGTAGAAAGAGGGCTAGGTGGGTATCGTGAAACCCTGCCCCTTCCTCCGCCTCCTGCCGGCCTCGCCACGTCCACGTGAGTTCCTCGCCAATGCCTCGATTCCGCCTCTCGCGACGACCGGCCGTGTGTTTCACTCTTGTTTCTCCCGCAGATGAAAATTGTCGGCGATGACCCCGACCTGCCCAGGACACAATGGCGTCAGAGCTGCCACCGAATTCTGCTTTTCGTTTTTACCCTTCGCTCTTGTAAGCCGCCCAGGACGCATCGTGACAGGAAAAGAACAATCGAATACGTCCTGCAGCGTTTCGTTTGATGGAACTGGCGACAGATGGCTCTCTCTCTTTTGTTTTTTTTGGATGAACCACTGGGCCACCATCGGTCCGTGTTTACCAGTTGTCTCTCAGGATTAAACCCAAGGCCAGCTGACCCCAACCTCCCCTCCCCGCAAGTCGCGAGGGGGAACAGGCCTCAGGCGATGGAGTATGTTGATGCATGAAGGAATTTTCATGAGCTCGGAACAAAAATAGGTGCTGATAAGGGATTCACCCGCATTCTTGGCTTTTTAATAGCTCAGTGCGCAGGATTTCCTGCGTTTCTTCAAGAACCCAGGCCTCCAGAGGAGCCCAGTTGCTATTAGTAACATCTGTGTTCTGTGTGTGTGCATGCGTGTGTGTGTGTGTGTGTGTGTGTCAGTGAGGGGTTGGAATTCCAAAAATATTCCTAATGTACCCCATGTGTAAGTGGAGGCAGCCCTGTGAAGCTAATCGCGACAAGCCATTTGTTTGAAGGTGTTACAAGTATATTCCAATTCCTGGGTATCAGGGAAAGGGATGCCTTTACCAGGCACTTAATCATACAGGGATGGGAATAAGGGGCAAACTTCCAAAATAGCTGGAGCGGACGGGTAAGACTGTGGAGGTTTCAGGCTCTGGAAATGACGGGAGCAAGTTGAGGACAAATTGAGAGGGTGCGTTGGAAAGTTCTGTTCGGCATTCCGAGTATGCCGTGCGAAAAGAGGTTGGCGTCCAGTCCTAAGTCCCACCGGCAATCATCACTGGCTGACCATTTCTCTCTAAGCCACACGTCATCCTGACGAGGGATTGCACCACTGTTCCTTCAATGTCGATAGGTCAAAATCCGGGAACACCACCTCGCTCCCAATAGCAACACTGTGCGTCTACCGATAGCACGTGGATTGCAGCGGTTCAAGAAGGCAGCTCACCACCACCTTCTCAAGAGGCAACAAGGGACGGGAATAAATGCTGGGCCCAGCCAGTGACTCTCACATCCCACAAGTTGACTTTTTTTAAAAAATTAAGCCAGTTTGAACACCAACTCTGCTCTGTAGTTGTGGGCATCTCCAGGTGAACATCCACAAAGGTTTAGTGTATGACACTGGGTGGCACAGTGGCTCAGTGGTTAGCACCGCTGCCTCACAGCGCCAAGGACCCGGGTTTGATACCTCCCTCAGGCAACTGTCTGTGTGGAGTTTGCACGTTCTCCCCCGTGTCAGAGTGGGTTTCCTCCCACAGTCACAAAGATGTGCAGGTTAGGGTGGATTGGTCATGCTAAATTGGCCGTAGTGTCCAAGCTGGGTGGATTAATGATGGGTAATGCAGGGACAGGATGGGATGCTCTTTGGCAGGTCGGTGTGGACTCGATAGGCTGAATGGCCCGCACTGTAAGGATTCTCTGTCACAGTCATGTGGCTGACCGTAGGGTTTGATGAAGTTGAAGCTTTGTCTTCTCTGTGGCTATATAGATTTTCTAATTTCACCTTCCCACATACTCCTAACCAAACCCCCATCCCTCTCCTTTGGCTGCATCATTGTACCGCACAGGAGAAGACGAGATTTGAAAAAGCATGGGAAGGAGGAGGAGGAGGAGGACGAGGACGAGGCTCTGAATTCAGCGGGTGATGACAGTCAGTATCCTCAGGAAGAATGCTCCCTGTCAGCACAATGAGAACGGCAATTGTTTTAGCTACCGTCATGCACAGGAGTCTTCCTACAGTCCTGAAATCCTTGCTCAGTCTCTGAATTCTCCTCGAGTTCACTCAATTTAGCTTGAAGCTACAGGCTTCTCTCAACCGTCATACAATTCTTCATAATTTATCTTGAAATCACAGGATTCTCCCTGCAATCATGGAATTCGCCCGAAAACCACGGAATTCACTCTGAAATCACAGATTCTCCTTGCAATCATGAGATTCACCCTAAAAACGTGGAATTCACTCTGAAATCACAGATTCTCCCCCACAATCATGGAATTCACCAACCCCCCCGCCAAATTACTAGATTCTCCAAGCAATCACAAAGACCTTCCTGAAATCATGGAATTCTCGCAACCACCCCTCCCAAAAACATTTCTCGATTCTTCCCGCGATTGTAGAATTCTCCCTGTATTCCGCAGAGTTCGGCGCAAAGTTTCTAGGTTCGCCCTGCCAGGATTCTCCGCACAATTCCGCGATCGTCAGCTAAAATTCTCGCAGCAATCTCCGATTGGTGTTGAAATCACTTGATCTTACCTTTGTCTCTGGCCCCAAGTCAGCCTTTTAAATCCGTTTTGCAGTCATCTGGAAAGCACCCTGGTATTTCCTCCAGCTCCCATCCCTGTACTTCTCCTAGGCGATGAAGCAGCGATACTGGTTTGTGGTTAGTTGTAGTCACTGTGTCGTTCGATTTGCACTTGTATTTACGTTCCACTGCTCCGGTTTCAGCTGCAGAATTCCTTCCTCCAGCTCCAGGAGCAACGCTCCTGCAGCTCGACATTGGACAGCATCGCTGGCTGATGTTATTTTTGTATTGAAGCCAAATTCTGATGGGCTTAACAAGCTGTTGTGTTCTTTTTTCTAAAAAAAAAGACTGGTTGAGGGCCTTGTTCGGCTCCCGCAAGCACACAGGCTTTTGTACAATCTTACGTTTTTTTTAAATTCAGATTTTCTTTTGTATTAATTCTCTATAAACGGTTTAACATTGCACGTCGGCACCTGACCTCTTCCGTTTTGTACCGTCCAGACTGTATGCATGCCTCCAACCACAATAAAGTTTTGTAACTGGCACCTAGGCAGTGAAGTTGACTAATTTTGGCTTGTACTCGCTGAAGTAGGGTCCTCTTGGGGTACAGTAGTTGGGCCTTCTCCCTGAACTGAGAGACCTGGCTCCAGAGCTCCATCCCTGAAAAACGTTGATTCGACAAAACTGGTCAGATGAATGAGAGAGGATCTGATCGAGGTATACAAAGGGAATTAATAAGGTGGACGTTGACCAGATGTTTCTTCTTTCGGGACCCTCTCGAACAAGATATAGACCGAGAGGAGGTAGGTTTGAAACTGAAACAAGGAGAGCTTCTCTCAGAGGTTTGTGAATCTTTGGAACTGACTGTCCCTGAATGCAGTGGTGGCAGAGTCAGTCAACAGATTCAAGAAAGAAATAGATATGTTTCTGATGAAAAGGGGGAATAACGGGCTGTGGGACGCAGGCAGGAGAGGGGCAGGGTTGAAACTAGGATAAGATCAGCTACGATCATAGGCTGAACTGCCTACTCCTGCTCCTGAATCCTCTGTTCCTACTTGTGAGTCTCACCCTCAACTATCCCCATTCGTTCTTGGTACCAGGAACGTCGGTAGAAAGAGGATTTGTTCCCACAGGCAGAGTTTAGGGAGCAAGGAGAGAGATAGGTAAACAGGATCTCATGGGTGAGAATCCCTTGTTGCTGCCACATGCTAGCGAGTACAAAAACAGTAGATCAATGCGTGGTCAGAGAGATGGTGGCGGGGGCTGGGGGGGTGTTTTAGTCTTGAGACTGTTTTTACAGGAATGGGGCCCGTGTAGGCCGGATGGGTTGCACCAGATCAGAATTGGCCCTGTCTCCTCACAGGGCGGCTTGGCAGTTTAGAATGTTTTCATCGGACCTGACCGTCACTAGCAAAGCTGGCATACCCTGAACCTTGTTGCCTTTGAACTGAAAACAACAAATGTGGGTCAGACAGCATCCATGCAGAGAGAGAAAGCTAACTTTTCGAGTCTAGATGACTCTGAAGTGAAGTGTGGAGGGGACAGCATTTATGCGATAGTTTTGGGGGTGGGTGGTGTGTGGTGGTGGAGAAAAGATGTTGATAGTTCAGTTTTAGTGATTGGAATGTGAGAATAGCTCTTAAGCTGACTTGTCTTGCTGGGGTAGCTACATTGTTGTGTGTCTGAAGGTATATGTAAGCCTGACCATATAAAGACATCAGATTTTCCACACTAAAGGACATTAGCAAAGGTTTCTTGCAACAATCAAAGACAGTACTAATGACCTTGGAGAGATGATGGCCTAGTGTTATTATGGCTGGACTGTTAGTCCAGAGACCCAGATAACGTTCTAGGGACCTGGGTTCAAATCCTGCCACAGCAGGTGGTGGAATTGGAATTCAATAAATATCTGGAATTAAGAATCAAATGTTGGCCATGAATCCTTTGTAAATTGTTGGAAAAATCCATCTGGTTCTCAAATGCCCTTTGGGGAAAGAAATCCTTACCTGGTCTGGCCTACATGTGACTCCAGACCCACAGCAATGTGGTTGACTCTTAACTGCCCTCTGGGCAATTAGGGATGGGCAATAAATGCTGCCCCAGCCAGCGACGCCCTCATCCCATAAATGAATAAAGGAAAAAAAAATCCAACTAACTTTCAAGGAGGCTGTCACCTAGTGGTATTATCGAGGGACTGTTAATCCAGAGATCATTATGTAGCAACTCTGGATTACTAGTCTAGTAGTATGACCAATTGTTACCATTACTCCCTCATTACTTTAGGCAATTTGACAGGAGGGGCATGAGAACCATGATGGAGCAGGAGAAAGAGGCCACACAAAGGATTGGAAGAGACAGCAGTAAACTAAGAAATGTTAAGTGGTATCAGAGAAAGACGGGTGCAATACGTCCTGAAGTAGGTTTACAGTGCAAAGATTGCAAACACCCAAAGCATAGTAAAATAGTGTCAGCGAGCTGCAGATATCAAATAGAATATGACATTGTGATGTTAATAGAGATCTGGCTCAGGATTTGGGTATCCGGGGATGACGCTGCTTCAGCGTTGCTGCAACTTGATCCTCTACCACAGGTTGGTTCTGTTAGAACACTCACCACTCTCCCCACTATAACCACCACCAAGGAAAACCTAAACATAAAGGGAGGCCCAACAACTTATATTGGGTTAAAGCGGGGGAAAGTGTTAAGCAGGCAAAACTAACAGCACTTTACTTGAATGCATTTAGTGTTCAGAAAAACATAAATGAATTAATGGCACACATAGAGATTAATGATAATGATCTTATAGCCACTACAGAGACATGGTTACAAGGTGGTACTTTTCAAAAGGACAGACAGGAAGGAGAGGGTGGTGGGGGAGCTTTGTTAGTACAAGATAGATGAATGAATGGATGGATGGATGGATGGATGGATGGATGGATGGATGGATGGATGAATGAACGGATGGATGGATGAAGGAATAGATGGATGAATGAATGAATGACTGAATGAATGAAGTGAAAGTGAGTACAATGAGTATAGTAATGGAATAAATACGACAACAAGAAACACTCTTAAATCAGATGATGTTGAATCTGTATGGGTGCAAGTCAGATCGACAAGGGGAAAAAGACATAGCAAATAGGCCCTCTAACATTAGCTGTAATGGCATGTTAAAAAGGCCAGCACATTAATCATGGGGGATTTTAATTTTCATGTGGATTGGGAAAGTCAAATTGACAGAGATTGCCACAAGGAAGAATTTAAAGAAAGTATTCAGGACAGTTTCCATGAACAGTTATGTTGCGGATCCAACCAGGGATCAGGATAATTTGGAACTGGTGATGTGTAATGAGCCAGGATTCGTTAAAGATGTCAGAGTAAAAGACCCCCTTGGAAACAGTGACCATAATATGATAGAATTTGGCATTCATATTTAGAGTATGTTACGCCTCACTTGGGTAATGTGTCAGAAATCAAGCACTGCCATTATTGGAGTCATTAAAGAAGTTAAAGATTTTATAGCAAAAGCATTGAGTATAGGAGCTGGGAAGTCTTGTTGCGGCTGTACAAGACATTGGTGAGGCCACATTTGGAGTACTGCATGCAGTTCTGGTTGCCCTACTATAGAAAGGATATAATTAAACTAGGAAGAGCACAGAAAAGATTTACTAGGATGCCACCTGGACTGAGAAGGTTTGAGTTATAAGGAGAGGTCGGACAGGCTGGGGACATTTTCCCCTGGAGCATGGGAGACTGAGAAGTGACCTTATCGAGGTCTATAAAATCATGAGAGGCATAGATGAGGTAGAGAGCCAGCAGCTTTTCCCTGGGGTAGGGGTGTCTAAAATGTTGGCCTTTATTTCAAAGGGACTATACTATGAAATTGGGAAGTCTCACTGGAGTTTAAAAGAATGAAGAGGAGACCTGATTGAAACATATAAGATTCTTGATGGGGTAGTTGCTCTTTGTGGGAAATGCCAGAGGGCATCTTCTCAAAATAAGGGGTCACCCATTTAGGAGGAATTTCTTCTCTCAGAGGGTAGTGAATCTGGGGAATTCTTAGCCACAGAGAGTGTTCGAGGCTAGGACATTAAGTACATTCAAGGCTGAGACAGACAGATCTTAAATTAATGAGTGAATCGAAAGTTGAAGGGAAATCGGAGGAAAGTGGAGTTGTGGATTAGCAGATTGACTGTGACCTGATTGAATGATGGAGCAGACTCGATGCACTGAAGTGTCTACTTCTGCTCCTATGTCTTATGATCTAACTCCTCCAGCCTGCTCCATCATTCAATAAGATCTCTACTCCATGTCCCTGTTTGCTTAATACTTCCTCCTTGCAATTGTCTACCTGCCATTTCTGTTGACATTTCCTCTCCCCACCCCAACCCCCGCAGTGGTCGTGGGTTTGGAAGGTGCTGTCCGAGGATCTTTGATGAATTTCAAAACAAATGTGGAGGGTTTTACTTGGGAGTGGATGCTTGTGGATGTGGTGCCAATCAAGCGGGCTGCTTTGTCCTAGATGGTGTCAAGTTTCTTAAGTGTTGTTGGTGCTGCACCCATCCAGGCATGTGGGGCTGTCAGGAGGTGTGTTACTAACTGCAGTACATTGCTGTAGCCAATGTGTTTACATGGCAAATCCGGTAGAGTTTCTGGTCAATGGTAAGCTCTAGGGTGTTGATAGTGGGGAATTCACCAAAGGTACCTCTAGTGCCTCTAGTGATTTCTTTCCCCTATTTTTCCTCTCCATCTCCAGCCAAACTAATCCTTCACATTGATCTCTTCAACCCAAAATCACCTATAACTATTATACAAATGCCATTGTTGAGTAACAGTGCCACCCCTCCACCTTCACTTAGCTTCCTACTCTTCCTGATAGCCGTATGTCATAGCCCTGGATTGATCCGCAAGAGGAAACATCATTTCCATGTCCACTTGTCAAGACCATTCAGGATCTTATACACTTCACCCAAGTCACCCCTCATTTTTCAAGACTCCAGTGGAACAAGCCCAGTCTGTCCAGCTGTCCCTGATAAAATTCCGGGTATCAAGCTAGTAAACCTGGACTGAACCACCTCCTCAGCATTTACATCTTTCCTAAAATAACAGCACCAAAACTGAGCATGGCATTGCTTAATGAATCCCCATTCCCTCAGCAATGATCCTGGACAGGGTCAGATTATTGCCATAGTGCACAGCAGAGTATTTTGCTCCTGGGTCCTTTTTCATGAAAAGGAACAAATGTGGAGGGTTTTACTTGATATCCAACTTAAACGCACGTACCAGCGGGTTCAAGAACAGCTTCTTCCCCGCTGCTATTAGATTTCTGAATGGACCTCTCGAGTTTCAAATGTAATATTGATCTTGCTTTTTGCACACTTTCTTTGCAGCCACAACTTTGCATTCCTTGCTCAGTTCTATCACCCTGTGACCTTTGTAGGGTATGATCTGCCTGTACTGCATGCAAAACAAAACTTTTCACTGTACTTAGATGAATGGGACAATAATTTTTTTTCCTTTATTCATTCACGGGATGAGGGTGTCGCTGGCTGGGCCAGCATTTATTGCCCATCCCTAATTGCCCAGAGAGCAGTTAAGAGTCAACCGCATTGCTGTGGGTCTGGAGACACATGTAGGCCAGACCAGGTAAGGATGGCAGTTCTCTTCCCTAAAGGACATTAGTGAACCAGATGGGTTTTTCCAACAATCGGCAGTGGGTACATGGTCATCATTAGATTCTTAATTCCAGATATTTTATTGAGTTCAAATTCCACCATCTGCTGTGGTGGGATTTGAACACAGGTCCCCAGAACATTACCTAGGTCTCTGAATTAACAGTCCAGTGATAATACCACTAGGCCATTGCCTCCCCCCGATAATGATAAATCAAATCAAATCAAATTGTTATTTCTGTACATAAAGTAAGTATAATATATAGAAAATTCTTGCAATAGTCCTGAAGACCTCTGCTTCAGAACTAGCCATGCCCTTAGCCAAGCTGTTCCAATACAGCCAAGACATTGGCATCCATCCAGCAAATTGGAAAATTGCCCAGTTATGTCCTATATGGACAAAAAGATCAGGGCAAATTCAACCCGGCTAATTACCGCCCCATCAGTCTACTTTTGGTTATCAGTAAAGTGATGGAAAGAGTCATCAATATTGCTATCAAGCAGCACCCTGTCAGCAATAATCTGTTCAGTGATGCCCAGTTCAAGGCCTCTACCGTCGAAAAGGGCAAGGACAGCAGATACATGAGGAACACCAAAGTCCCCTCCAAGCCACTCACCATCCTAACTTGGAAATATATTGCCATTCCTTCACCGTTGGTGAGTCAAAAACCTGGAATTTCCTCCCTAAGGGCATTGTGGGTCAACATACACTAAACAGGCCTCAACAGGACAAGAATGCAGCTCACTACCAGCTTCTTCTAGTCAACTAAATATGGGCAATGGTTACTGACCCAGCCAGCGACACTCATGTACCCTTAAGGAAGAAAAGGAGGATGAAATTTAATGCAGAGAAGTGTGAAGTGATTCACGGTAATATAAAATGAAGGATATAACTGAAAAGAGGAAGATGGATCAAAGGGACCTGGGGCACGTGTGCACAAACCATTGAAGGTGGCAGGACAGTTTAGGAAAGAGTTAAATAAAACAACCACCACCCTCAGATTTATAAACAAGTGCATAAAAGGGGCGGACTTGTGATGTAAACTGAATCTAACACAGGTTCGGCCTCAGCTGGAGTGTCGTGCCTGTTCTGGGCTCTGTGTTTTAGAAGAGATTTGAAGGTGCTTGAGGAGGTGCAGGAACTATTTACAGATCCAGGGATGAGGGAATTCTCTCTCATGAATGTACTGGGGAAGCTGAGACTGGGAATTCAGTCCAATGGCTACATAGACTAGGGAAGCTGGGAGTTCAGTCTGATGGAGAGACTGGGGAAGCTGGGAG